TAGCGCCAAATTACGAAAAAAAGATATATAAAAATTAAAATGGTTATTTTGGTAAATAGAGTATAAAATTTTTACAAGGGTATATTGTCCTAGAAAAATTAATTTCTGCTTCATCTTCTGCTTCCAAGAAAAGTTACAAGTTTCTGCTTCCTTAGAGTGTTTCGTTGAAGTAAAGGATTATAGGTGTTATTGTTACTGCACTAAGAAGAACAAAATGGAGCACTTCCCAAACTTAAAATGACCATTTGGTTTAAGAATTCAATAATTTTACACGTAATTTGAAAATAAAATTTATGTTCTAGTTTTGAGTGCTCGAGCATATTTTTTGTCACTTGAGTTAGAATGCACTACGTTATTATATCAAACCTTATTTATTTGAAACTCTTTTTCGAATATTTATTTATTTGAACTCTATTTATTTATAACTTAACATATGGAATATATAAGGTTCTGTATAATTAATAAGGGATAATACTATAATAGTAATTTGAGTCCCTTAGTTATTGATAAATTTTATCTTGGTCCTTATGATAAATGGCGAAACTGTTGAATCTGTGAATTGCAGAAGTTGTAATAAGAAGAAGAGAAGAAGAGAAAAGCGATTGGGGAAATTTTCACTGTTTCATTAAGCTTCTAGCTAGACTATTACACGTATATGTAGTATTGCTCTACTAACCGCTACAACTAATTGACAGCTGTACATATAACTAACTAACTTTAATTGACAAACTATAGTTAACTTAACTAACTATGGTTAAGTAATACTATCCTTTATACCCCTCCTCAAGCTAGGAGGTATGCAGATGTTGTTCATTCCTATCTTGGACACAAGGTAGTCATGTTGAGCCCGGCCAAGTCCTTTGGTAAGTAAATCTGCTTGCTGATCAGTTGAAGCCAGAGAAAAAGTAGAGATGAGACTTGTTGAATCTTCTCGCGGATAAAGTGACAATCAATGTCAATATATTTGGTGCGCTCGTGGAACACAGAGTTTGCAGCAATCTGAAGAGCAGATTTGCTATGGAAATAGACAGGTACAGAGGAATATTGAGGAACACCCAACTCTTTGAATAGGCCAAGGAGCCACACCACTTCAGCAATAGTAGAGGCTAGGCTGTGATACTCAGCCTCAGTAGAGCTTCGAGAAATAGTAGATTGCTTTTTGGATTTTCAAGAGATGATGGAATCACCAAATTTAATAATATAGCATGTGACAGACTTCCTAGAATTGGGGCATGCAGCCCAATCCGCATCACATAAGGCTGACAAAGACTCACAACAATGAGACTTAAGCAAAATACAAAATCCATGACAGTGTTTAATGTACCGAACTACACGTAAAGCAACTTCCATGTAGGACACTTTAGGTTTGTGAATAAATTGGCTAAGGCATTGAACAACAAACAAAATGTCTGGCCTAGTGACAGCAAGATAAAGCAGCCTGCCCAGAAGCCTTTGATAAGATCCACGATCATCAAGATGTGTATCATCAGTGATACCTATAGAAGCATAAAATTCACAGCTTGTCAACTTCATATTAGGTTCCATAGGAGAAGCTACAGGTTTAGCACCAGACAAACCCAAGTCAATAATAAGCTCAAGTGAGTACTTCCTCTGATGCATCAAAATCCTTTCAGCACTCCTAGCAAACTAGATCCCCAAGAAATACTTGAGCTCCCCCAAGTCTTTGATTTTGAAATTCTACTGCAAATCGTCCTTAATAATCTAAATCAAGGACATGTCATCACTAGTAATGAGCAGGTCATCGACATACACTAGAACTACCACTATGTGACCATGCAGTCGTTTGGTGAATAAGGAATAGTCCACGTGGCTTTGGTGAAAGCCTGAGGCAATGAGAGCAGAGGTCAATTTAAGATTCCATTGTCTGGAAGCTTGTTTAAGACCATAGAGTAAAACCAATGATGTATCTCCAGGCTTACTGAAAACCCTGTGGCAGACTCATATAGACCTCCTCAATGAGATCATCTTGTAAGAAATCATTGTACATATCCATTTGGTGAATGATCCAATGCCTAGAAGCAGCTAAGGAAAGAACACTTCTAACATTCACCATTTTGATTACAAGAGAGAATGTCTCCCTGTAATCCAGTTCTTCCTTCTGATTGAAACCCTTAGCTACAAGCCTTACCTTGAATCTATCCACTTCTTCATAAGCTTTATACTTGATCTTATAAACCCATTTGCATCTTATAGGTTTCTTACCTAGTGGCAATGGAACCAACTACCAGGTATTGTTGTCTTCTAAGGCCTTGATTTCAGCCTACATAGCCTCAACCCAACGTTTTTCTTTTGCTGCTTCATGAAAAGTGGTTGGTTCTACCTTATTGGAAAATTGGTAAAGATAATTGTTGGAATGTCCTTGCTTGTGATCTACCCTATAAGCCTACTCATAAGGTAAGAAAAAACTTCATTCCATTATGAGTAGTTGTCTTATAGGGTTCCCATACATCCACAAGGATCAATTGAAAACTACTTAGGCTTCTACCATGGCTAACTGGAAAAGGAACTCTAGTTTGCCTTGCTTAAGGAAAAATCTCACACTTATGTAAAACTTCACATCTAATGAAAGTAGACATTATTCTAATGACTTGCATAGGCACATGCCACAGCCTTTTATGCCAAATGTCCTCAGCTTTCTTTGTTACTACTGTGAATGCTTGATAAGTCCCCAATTTCTCTTGTTTGGTTGCAGAAAGCATTGTGTATAAACCATCCTCTTCTCTACCAATATCCCTCACCTTCCCAGAGAAGAGATCCTGAAAGACAAAGAATGTGGGAAAGAAAGATGCAAAGCAGTTCAGCTCTTTTGTCACCTTTGACACAAACAAAAGATTGAACTTGAATGAAGGTACACAAAGAATATTCTTGATAGTGTCACCTCCTGTTAACTGACAATCCCCAACATGTGTGACCTTAGCCGAGTCTCTTGTAGGCATTTGTACTTGACCTCCATTACCTACTGACATCCAATTATCTAATAAGTTTTTATCCCCTATCATATGATTTGTAGCACCTGTGTCCACAATCCATTTAGGAAGGTTAACATTGCAACAGAAAAGAGTACCTGTCATTGCTGCTACATTCTGAGTAGTCTTCTCCCCAAGGGAGGAGTTGTTCAACATTTGCAAAATTTTAGCATACTGCTCCTGAGTGAACACCTGTGGTGGTACAGCTCTATGCTCAACATCCTATGTGTTACTGCCCTGTAGTTGTACTGTATTCACTTTCCTCTTATACTTAAAGTCTGTAGGATAACCAATTATCGTATAACAATTCTCCTTCAAATGTCATGTTTGGTTGCAGTAGTCACACTTCATGAGTTTATAGCAGCCATCTCTAGTGAGCCCCTTCATCTTACAGAAATCACACTCCAATTCATAATTCCTCTTCTGTTTGGGTCTAGCTTGAGTTGTGAACATAGCAGTAGGTTTATTATGATTAGGCATTCCAAAATTATTCCATGTCATCATCCTACGACTTTCATCTTGAATTACCATTGCATAAGCCAGGTTAATGGTTGAGACAGTGGGCATCTGGAGTATTTGGCTTCTAGCTTGCTCAAAACTATTATTTAGTCCCATTAAAAATTATAATAGGTATTGGAATTGCAACTGTTCAACATAATCTTTAGCAGGTGGTGGTGGAAAAATTGAGTCGTATTCATCCCATAGATCAGTCAATTTAGTAAAATAAACTGATACTGATGAAACTCCTTGAGTAGAAGTAAAAATTTATTTTTGCAGATTGTAAAGTCTAGATACGTTCACCTTGTCAAAACGTACCTTAAGTTGTGTCTAAATTGTTTATGCATTTTCATAGAAGAGAACTCCCGTTAACAAATGTTGACTTACATTGCTCATCAACCACGAGGTCACAATGGCATTACAGTGGTCCCATTGATGTGCTAATGCTGGTCCAAAATCTGCTTTGGAAGTGGATCCATCAACTAAACACAATTTGTTCTTCCCTAGCAATGCTACTTTCATTGTTCGATTCTAAATTATGTAATTGTCAATTCCAGTTAACAGTAGACCCACTGTCATCGATCCTGATCCATCAGACGGATGGGGATATAATGAATGATTATGATCGAGAATTACCGCCCCGCCGCCGGTTACACCAGTTCTGACAGTCGTGCTGCTCGATTCATCGTCAATTGCCATGGAATTTGCACAAACAAAATCAATTAGGGTTAAAAGAAAAGCACATAAACAGAGTCGATTCTCTCGATTTCCTCTTTAATTGCACGAAGAAATCTCTAGAATCACTCGATTGATAGCTTTGAAACCATGTTGAATCTGCGAATTGCAGAAATTGTAATGAGAAGAAGTGAACAGCGATTGGCAAAATTTTTACCGTTTTATTAAGCTTCTAGCTAGACTATTACACGTATATGTAGTATTGCTCCACTAATCGCTACAACTAATTGACAGTTGTACATATAATTAACTAACTCTAATTGACAAACTATAGTTAACTTAACTAACTATCGCTAAGTAATACTATCCTTTATAGAAACACATTAACTTTTTTATCCCTTCATAAAGGAATATGCTATATTTGGACTATTTTTAAATTATATTATACTCAAAAATGAAGTAAAAATGCAAACTTATCCTAACGCATGGATAGTCAAATCATGTAACGATATATAACTCGTTAAATTTGTGAAAAATTCAAAAGCAGAAGGGATAAAAACTGCACATTCAATTAGTCAGAAGTTAAATGTGCTTAACCAGATATAATAAGAACCAAAAATATAATTTACCAATATTCGAGGGACTAAAAGTGAAAATTGTCCAATTAAAAAAATTGGCGTATTCCATGGGTTCTAAAAAGAAAGCTGCCAACAGAGTCAAGGGTCATGAGTCAACCCAAATTACAAGTCTTCAAAAAAGCTTCAAAAGATTTTATAGTCCCACAAATTTTTAGGACATATTTACATAAATCATTCCATCTATAAATTAAGAAAATACGACGTATTCCATGGGTTGGTTCCAAAGAGAGAGCCGCCAGCAAAGTCAACGGTCCAGAGTCAACACAAATAACAACTCACAAGTCCTCAAAAAACCGCCATATATGATTGATTAGTCCAAAACTCCGTCTTCCTTCTATGCCAAAACCAACCATGTCTTGTCCATCTCCTCCCTTTCCCCTTCTGTTCCTCCTCTTTTTACTGTTGAATCATCCACTCTTCTCGTCTGCCCAAAAATCAACCAAAATCCTAACAATATTCAATTCCACACTTTCTCCTTGGACTCCAACCCAAAACCAAATCCTCCTTTCTCCCAACTCCACTTTTGCTGCTGGTTTTCTACCATCAAATTCCACCAACTCCTATGTTTTCTCCATTTGGTATTATGAAATACCCAACAAAACTATAGTTTGGTCTGCTAACCCAAATTCCCCTGTTAATTCTTCTGCTTCCCTTTCCATTTCCACCTCTGGTGAGCTCAAGTTAAGCCCCCAAACTAGAGTCTCCTCAGCTCCTAATCTTTGGCCTAAGAGTATTTTGGTTGTCAGAAATACTTCAGCGCTGCTTTTTTTACAAGAAAGTGGAAATTTGGTTTATGGTAACTGGGGTAGTTTCTTGAATCCAACTGACACATATCTGCCAAACCAGAACATCAATGGCACAAATGCAACTTCCAGTAATGGAAAATTCCAGTTTCTCGGATCCAGAACGCTTTTTTACAATGGAAATGACAGCTACTTCGCTTTTCAAAATTCTCTTCAGCGCTTAGAGGATACGGGATTAGTGACTCAATCTAGTGGAAATCCCTTCTACTCATCGGATTTCGGTGACCTGAAACTGAGAAGGTTGAAGCTTGAAGATGATGGGAATCTCCAAGTCTACAGCTTTGATCCTGTTTTAAAACAATGGACTGTTGTTTGGCAAGCAATTTATCAGCTATGTACAATCCATGGTACGTGTGGTACAAACTCTATATGCATGTATGATGCTTCTACTACTAAGACTTCTTGTGTCTGTCCTCCGGGGTTTAAGAAGATCTCTGGAGAATCTTGTGAAAGGAAAGTCCCACTTTTGAGCAAGACCAAGTTTTTGCCTTTAGATTATGTCAATTTTACTGGTGGGGTTGACCTTAAGGTTTTGAACTTCTCTAGTTGCCAAAAACAGTGTCTTGATACGGAAAATTGCTTAGGTTTTATGTTCAAGTATGATGGGACTGGCTATTGTGTGCTTCAATTGGATAAGCTGTTGTATGGATTTTGGTCGCCAGGGAATGAAGTTGTTACGTATTTGAGGGTTGATAATGAAGAAAAAGATGTTTCAAATTTCACTGGTATGACTAGTTTGATGGAGACTTCATGTCCAGTGAGCATTAGCCTTCCATTTCCACCAGAGGAGTCTAAGGCAACCACTAGGAATATTGTGATCATCTCAACTATCTTTGCAGCTGAGTTGATTAGTGGGGTATTCTTCTTTTGGGCATTCCTCAAGAAGTATATTAAGTACAGGGATATGGCTAGGACTTTTGGTCTTGAAGTCATGCCTGCAATTGGACCAAAAAGGTTTAGTTTTTCTGAGATCAAGACTGCAACCAACAATTTCATTGATAAGATTGGGAAAGGTGGGTTTGGAGATGTTTATAAAGGGAAGTTGAACGATGGCCGGGTTGTGGCAGTGAAGTGCTTGAAGAATGTCACGGGCGGTGATGCTGAGTTCTGGGCTGAGGTCACGATCATTGCCCGAATGCACCATTTGAATTTGGTAAGGTTATGGGGTTTCTGTGCTGAAAAGGGTAAAAGGATACTTGTGTATGAGTATGTACCTAATGGTTCATTGGATGAATTCCTGTTCCAAAAGGCTGCTCGGATTGGATCGCCAGATAGACCTCAGAAACCGATACTTGATTGGAATATCAGGTATAGGATAGCACTTGGCATGGCACGAGCAATTGCCTATCTACATGAAGAGTGTTTGGAATGGGTATTACATTGTGATATCAAACCTGAAAATATTCTCTTAGGTGACGATTTCTGCCCTAAGGTGTCTGATTTTGGGCTAGCGAAGCTAAAGAAGAAAGAGGAGGTGATGACCATGTCAAGATTTCGAGGCACACCAGGATATGTGGCACCAGAATGGACCAAGGCTGATCCAATCACTCCGAAAGCAGATGTGTACAGCTTTGGATTGGTGCTGTTGGAAATAGTTTCGGGTTCACGGAATTTTGAGCATTATGACTCAAAGGTGGATAGCGATCAGTATTATTTCCCTGCTTGGGCATTTGATAAGGTGTTTAAGGAAATGAACATTGATGATATTTTGGACCCTCGAATCAAACAATCATATGATTCAAGGGCACACTTTGACATGGTAAATCGGATGGTGAAGACAGCACTGTGGTGCATCCAAGATCGGCCAGATGCCCGGCCATCAATGGGGAAAGTGGCCAAGATGTTGGAAGGAACAGTGGAGATCATTGAGCCAAAGAAACCTACCATTTTCTTCTTAGGCGAGGAACAATAGTTTAATCAGTCCTATATGAATCCCTTAAAATGCAGTTTCAAGAAGTTGCAGTGAGCATGTATTGCAGCATCAGCAATAAGAAGTAGACAGGATCATATTTTCCAAATAAACCACAATCAAGATAAATGCCCTTTAAAGGTGTTAAAGAAATGTAAAATATATTGTTAATTCTGTTACTGTGTGAATGCTTTAAATGTATGTTGTTGTTAATCCTTTAATTTGTGTGAACACGAGAATGTGGTTATAAAGAGCATGTGGATTAAGACCCAATGTCACACAATAGTGATACAGTTGGCACAAATGATACTTCATGGAAAAAGTCAAGGCTTAGGCCTAACAATAGTAGCCAGTGTTTGATTACTCCACAAGTAACTCTAATAGAAAAAAAAATAGCTAACATCATTTCCACTTTGCCCGAGACAAAACACAAGCAGACAGATCTTTATTCTAACTGTAGCAATACAAGAAGACTGATCTTTAATTATTCAACTGTCGAGTACAAAAAGAGGAATCAGATGGCAATGGATTTAAGAAGTAAAAAAGGAAACAACATGCTCAATCCACTTGCAACAGGTGCATCAATCATTTTCTTGGGGGTGGCGTAATTCCATACTTATATGAAGTGTTATAAAGAGCCTCACCAATTCTCTCCCCTGCCACTTCACCAATGGGCACTGCATCAGAAAGTTCTCTTATGTCTTCCTCTGTGAGCTTCACCCTCACAGAGCCTACGTTATCATGAAGATTTTTAATCTTCGATGTACCTATAGTAAGAGAGAGGAAGCTAACTCAGTATTCACAACACCATGTCTTTAAGAAATCAAAGCACAATTTGTATCGGCATCTGATTTCTTGATGCTTTCCGTTTCTTTGAGGCAGGAAATTTTATACAGGAAATATTGCACCGCTTTCTTTTCATTTTTTTCCTTTTTATTATGGATACAGCCTCCAAATCTTCTGGTTAACCAAGTGTCAAGTGAGTGCATATGCACAAAGCTTTCATGTGATAAAGCTTGTTTTGCATTACCAAACTTAATAGCAGCTAATTAACAATCATGTCCGCATCAATGAACAACATCTCCC